TAGACAACGTGGTCTCTTTGCACCCTCTTACTTAAAGTCCTGTTTCAATGAGCGCAGTTTTTGATGCATAAAAATAGCAGTCTAGAATTTGCGCTGAAATTCAACTCTTCATGCAATACAGTCCGTACAGCTATGTTGATAAGGTTCATTACACTGAGTCCATGCAATTTTAATTTCGGTACAGTAAATGCTTTGAGGTATTTGAAATTAATTTGGAATTCCATAAAAGTGCAAAATTTTATCCGAGCCAACATTAGTAACATTAATTCAGTAAATTTATTCGTTGGTCCTTCTGGTTATCTCGGAGGTATCTTCCATTATACTTTATAACATAGCTTGTAAATTTGTGCAATCAAATTCAATAGCGCGAGCGTGCTTCAATTTTCCATTGTGCGCGCTGTTGACGTCGGCAAACAAATGCCTCGCGAAAAAAAAATTTTTTCGCGAGTGACTTCAGCATTTTTCATTCAAAAAACGGGAAAAACTTCCGCAAAAAAGTTAAACTAGACATGGCAACAAGCGAACAAGCCATAAAGATCTGCCTACTTTTTATTTGGGAATAGTTTTTTTAACTCCTGAGAAAGAATCCAGGGAAAGGGAAAACAAAACAATCAACGCCGGTTTCATCTCGTTTCGCAACTCTAACTTCATTTCCACGCATGAATTCACCTGTCAGTTTTTGACCAATCTGAGACAAGATCATTGAAGCATGGCGAAATACTTTTCCGAAACAAAATAAATAAACAACGCATTGAAACGTAGGGGAGGGAATTTCTGTTCTTTATACATAAACTTCAGCGTTGAAAATGTTATAAAACAATTGGTTCATACGTCACCTGTGCGTTCATCGAGATATGAAGCACTTGGGAAGTTTGGAAAGCACATAAGAAGCTAGAGTTGCTCCAGGCTACGCCTCGAGCAACTCTTACGCATCTTTCGTGCTCTCCAAGCTTCGCGCGTGCTTCATATATTGATGAACCCACGCTGACGTATGAACCAATTGTTAAGTAGCATCTCCTACTTACAGAAGAACCAGACGAGGGTTGTTTCTAAAAATGCCTGAAGACAAATTCTTCAACTGGTTTTCCTCAAGGTACCTATCACAAGAAAATATGTTCAAGCACCGATTACGTTAGAACTTCAGAATGATAAAAGGCCCAAAACCAAAAACAAGTAACAGCCTTGGCAAACCTGTGTGCAAACAAAGGGACAGAACAAAAAACAAACAAAGAAACGAAACGAATCGAAACGAAACAAACAAACAAAAAACAACAACAACAACAAGTAACAACCTTGTTTGCAACCCTGTTGACGATAAGGATGGAGGGTAGGGGAGTTGAAGGGGATGGCAGTTGCTTAGGCTAACTTGAAGGAGAATTGTCGGGATCAAAGGACGTGCTTCATATTGAAACAAACCCTTCCCTGGTCATATGGGTTGAGGCTGACTTGAAGTTGACAACCGAAAATGTATTCAAACAATATCTCTTATATTACCAGAGGTATTCTTCTCACGAGAGAACCCAATAAATTAACTTAGTTTATCATTGTTCTCTGTCTACCATAGACACCTTATTTCTTGTAGAATTGGAAGAATCATTATTCTTTACGTACATATTTCGTCACAATATACTTAAGGCGTTACTGATTTGCGTAAATTATCTTATTGATAGTTGCTTATTTCTTTTAATAGTTTTTGTACATGTTGGTAGATATTGTGCTTAAGTCCCACTTTCCCTACACCTTTTCGCCCGTGCCCCTGCGAAATGTTTTGAATCCACAGCAAGCGAGCGGGGATTTTTTTTGTCTTATGTCAATTGTTCATAAACAGTCTACTATGCAACGAAGTCTCGCCTTAAAATCCATATTTTTTCTCTCAATTATGGTCTAGACATGTCACCGGACCCAAAAACTGATTTTTATCTTGAATATTTTCTTAAAGATTGTACCCAAATTCAAAACTTTCCGTTGAGGACGAAGATCTTTGTTTAATATTACTCCAAACCTTAGCGGTTTTCTTAAAGAGAAACATAATCATGGGCTTATTTTTAAGCCACCGCACTTTTTATGCAAATAAAAAGATTCTCAATTGCAGAATTCGATTAAACTTCAAGCTACCCTTGCCTTTAGTATTTTACATTAGAAAATAACACAAAACAAAACAGTGATTTAGCTTTTGTTCCTCCTTGTTCTATCTAAATTTAGACCAAATTCCGAGAAATGCCGTCAGTTCTAAAGAATGAGAAATATAACAATGCGAAAGTGACTCAACTACTTTCGAAAAATGTTTTACTTCAACGCGAATCTCGGTCCATAAATACGCAAAAAAAGAACGAGACTAATATCCAGCCGTCATGACCGAAGAGGCTTGATCCATAAATGATTTATCATATGACAAAAAAGATTTCGATATAATAAGAATAAAGAATGACTTGCTTATTTCGAGAGCCGGAAAACAAATCGAAGAGTGTTTGTAGCACAATAGATCGATGAGAGTCTTGATGGTTTCTTTTTTCTTCGCGTTTTTGAAACTCTATCTTCATCACGGGCAAAGCCTTAAGAGCTTAAAAAAAAAAACTCTGCGTTAATTCCGATCGAACCAGAAGAGGTTTTCGCGTTCCACCCCTCGTCCCTTACAAGTTTTGTTTGATGTGTGTAGCGAGCAAATTTTCCCTGAAATAATGCATTCGCTATATGTTTTCCTAGTTTAAGTGTCGGTATGGCTTTATAAAGACGTACAACCTGAGCGATGAAACATCTATTTGTCTGAGAAAGACTGGCAACAACAAAAGAAAAGTTAAAATGTGGGAAAGATGCGGAGATACCTAAACAAAGAATGGCACGTGTTGTAAACCGGAAGTAAGGAGGTGGGCGTAGCCCAGAGAGAGAGGTGGAGGGTGAAATTCAAAAGGATACATCTCACATATTTCTCACTTCCCTCCACCCACACCACCCCCCCTAATTACTAGAAAACAGAACATTTATCTCTTGTAACTGCTTTTGTCTGGAGATGAAGAATTGTTGCCCTGATCTGCTGGTATTCTCCCGCATGCGAAATGCATCAGACGTATTCCTTATGCAAATAAGAAAGGCTCCCAGCTTACAGCAATTCCAGCTGGGTATTGTTACTGAAAATGCCTGATGGTAATCTCTCCAACTGGTTGTTGTTTAATCCACTACCAAAAATAAGTAAATATAGTGTCAACAACATGGTATTCGACAACAAAGGTCATAGAATAGGTATGCTCCAAAACATTGTATTTTTTTCCCCTGTCCTGATATTAGGGCCTAAATATACACGTTGGCATCTTAATTGGCCCCGGAGAGGATAACAAGCTATAATCTGGGAAAAAAGTTATTGAGGCACACCCGGACCCTACCCCCTTCTAATTGCCCATTATGTTAAAATTATAGTCTCTTGGTATCATAGTAAGGCTTGACTTTACACCCTGTCGTGCACTGTAGTCCTCGTAATAAGCCAGGCGACACTGACTAGAGGGTAAGGGGTTGGTAAATTAACAAGGAAGGGTTCGAGCAGTAAAAGGTTGAGTAATCACATAAAATGTCTTTATAGTTTGTTCAAGATTATAGAAAAGCTACTCATTTGCGCATGCGCACATTCGCATCTTACGTCCAGGCCTATATCGCAAGGCATACACAGGAAAAACAGTATGTATTATATTCTGCTTTAATGAATTCGTGGAAGGTTGTCTAAGGCAAACACTTTGTGGTTCTGATCTCTCAAGGGGTGGATAAGTTAGACTATTTATACACGGAATTGTCCAAAACGGAACAAAGAGAAATTTTGTTGAATAAGACGTAACTGAATTGTTAAAATAAAATGTAAATCGAACCTTTTCCATTCCCTAAAATTATTTCTTTTGTCCAATTATTATCAGGGCCACTGTAATTTAGGACGTTTTGTATCTGTTTTATTTCTATTTCACGCGTGATAAGTCGTTTTTTCATGAAATGAGGCAAAGTCACTATTGTATATACGTATTATGTACCTAGAGTGTAGCGCGAAGGTCGGAAGGATATGTGTTCGCCCGCCATGATGAATAGAGTTGTGTTCTGCTATATGCTTTGGATTATTGCCTTGTGTTACGATATTTTGGTGACGAAGATGGCTGAGATCACATTTATACCGTTCGATCCCTTCGAACAGACCGGTAGTGTGAATTCCCGCCGGGACAGATAGAAAACACGACTACAATTTTACTTCGATGCCCGTGGAGTTACTGTTGACAATCGCAAACGAGCTTTGCTACTTCACCTTGCCGGGCCGGCTGTTCAAGACATCTTCGCTACCTTCTTAGACAATGGGACCACTAACACGGAGGCGCTTATTGCGCTGAACACGCATTTCTCTCCTTAGAAGAGCTTACAGTTCGAAAGACACACCTTTCGCCAGGCTCATGAAGTGCCAAACGAATCGATTACTCAATACGTCACACAACTACGCCGTGGGCAAGCACTGTTCATTTTATTTGTTTTAGCAGGTTGATTAATTTGGCAGCTGTAACAGCTGATGTGGACCTGCTGTCCTAACCCACCTATCCCACCCCAGGGGAGGACATCCATCACACAGTAATCTCGTGTGTGGGAAATTAACGTCTCCTGCCCCAACCCTGCAGGAGACGGGACCTCCATTTACTCGTCCCTATCCGAGAATACTAGAATATCTAACCATTTCTTGATGTTATGGAAAGGTAACAAATTCTTCTCAATTATTTTAAAACCTTGAGTGTTGGTCCGGCCGGGGCTCGAACACTCGACCTCCCGCACTACAGTCCAGCGCTCTATCCATTGAGCTAACCGGGAGGCGGTTAGCTCAATGGATAGAGCGCTGGACTGTAAGACATGATTTTGATAAATACTGGCTCGATGAGGCTATTAAAGACCAGTTAATTGAACATTGTCATTCAAACACGCTTCGTCGACGCCTCCTTTGCTTAAAATCCACTGCTTCTCTCAGTTCGTTGTTGGATATTTCTCGCTCCATGGAATCGACCAACTTTCAGGCGGCGAACATTGAGAATACTTCGTGCCAGGAACGCTCAGAAAACGCTCACCAACTAACAATTCCAACCATCAGCGAACAAGAGCAAGTGAGTTTTACTTCGGAGAAGCGGCAAAAATGTACACATTGCGTTAACCAGCGCGACCACCAGCCGCGAACTCCCAGATGCCCTGCTTTTCGAAAGACATGTTCTCAGTGCGGAATCCTACACCATTTTAGACGCGTTTGTATGAAAAGAACCGTAAATCCAGGTCACCCAAATGGCAAACAGGCAGAGATACCCAAGGTCCGATAAGCTTGTAATTCTTCAGATGAGGATGAATGTCATGAGGCATTCCATCTCAACCCCAACCGAACAAAAGCAGACATCACAGTTACCATTGAAGGTACCCTAGTTCAAGTTTGTATTGATTCTGGTGCAACAGTGAACACCATTGACTATGCAACATATGAGGCGATCAGTGCCGCAAAAACAGTGCCTTTAAAACCAATCAATGTGGAACATGGAGAAGACAACCCTGCCCCGAACCCCCTCGCTGGGTTTTTTTTCGGAATGATCAATACACCTTCAGGGCAGATGGACCTGACAAAGTTCCTGGTACTCAAAGCACGGAATGCTGGCTGTCTCCTGAGTCGCGAAACCTCAACCCGGTTAGGAATGTTGCATGTCGCAGCCTTTACAAATTCTGAACATTCATCTGCCCACGGTGAAAACCAGTACCTTTTACAGAAGTTCCCAGCAGTGTTCAGTGGCAAAATCGGGAAACTAAAAACTTACCAACTTGAGCTCAACATTGACTCAACTGTACAACCGGGGGTACAAAATTCTCGTCCTACACCCTTACACTGCCGTGCCAAGGTGGAAGCCAAGCTGAAACAGCTTGAAGATCAAGATATCAAAGAACAAGTTACGGGCCCGACATTATGGGTGTCACCGCTTGTCATTGTCGACAAGTCGAATGGTGACATACGACTGTATTTAAACATGTGCAAGCCCAACGAAGCTCTCTGCCGTACATACCACCCATACCCCACATCCGAAGAAATTTTCCAAGCCCTAAACGGCTCCAAGTTCTTTTCCAAATTGATCCTAAGTTTCGCTATCACCAAATGGAACTTGCTGAATTGTCTCGTCACCTGACAATATTCAAAACACAAGTTGGCCTCCGCCGTTACAAGAGTCTGCCATATGGAGCATCAGTAGGCTATGAAATATGCCAACACATAATTGGGCAAGTCCTCGAGGGATGCCACAATGTAAGGAACATTGCAGACGACATTTTCGTCCATGGTACCACTAGGGAAGAGCATGACAGATTCCTAGAAAATGTGTTGCTACGTCTCCAAGAGAAAAACCTCAAAGACAACCCAATTAAGTATCTATTTGGCGTCCCGGAACTGGACTATTATGGATTCTACATCTCAGCACAAGTTGTGTCCCCCGATCGAATACACGCAATCAGCACATGCAGCCGCCAAGCACAGCCACGGAAGCAAGAAGCTTTCTGGGATTGGTAAATACCGTCCACCGTTTCCTTCCAAACCTAGCTGCTATGACAGAGCCACTACGAAGGATCACACACAAAGATTGTCCGTGGTCATGGGGACCATAGCAATCTGAAGCCTTTAACAAGCTGTATGACTTCATATCTAGTGACACGGTTCTGGCCCATTTTGACCCCTCCCTCCCCACCAAGTACGCCATGATGCTTGCCAGATTGGGATCAGTGGCGTCTTGACTCAGAAGCAACCCGATGGTTCTATCCGGCCCGTTGCGTATGCAAGCCGCAGTCTATCACCCGTCGAACAGCGCTACAGCCAAACTGAAAGAGAAGCCTTATCAGGAGTATGGGCTGTGAGAAGTTTCATTTTTACATCCACGGCAGCCAGTTTGACTTAGTGGGAGATCACAGATCCCTGGAAGTTCTCCTCAACGGCTGTGGGAACCCTTCACCGAGAATCGAACGTTGGTTATTATGGCTTCAAAACTAGAGCCCACACATTGTTTACCCACCTGGTATCCAAAATGCTGTCGACTTCCTGTCACGTCAACCTGTCCCTACCAATACACCTAGAGATCCTGTTGAGGACTATGTTAACTCCATTGTGATTGACTCCCTTCCTTCTTCCATCACTCTTCAGGAGCTTCTTCTCGCTTCCGAATCTGACCCCACTTTCAAAACCATCAAGGAGTGCCTGGACACTGGGAGCTGGTCAGCTGCACCAGCGCATTTTGCTGATCTAAAGGAAGAACTTTGCCAGAAACGCGGCATAATTTTATGGAACAGCCGTATTGTACTTCCAGACGCACTACGCCCACGCATTCTTCAGTTAGCACACGAGGGACACCAAGGCATCACTGAAGTTAAACAGTATCTCAGACAACGAGTCTGAGAGCCTGGCATTGATATTCAAGTAGAGAGATATGTACGCGAATGCCTTAGTTGCCAAATCGTCGGCCCAACTTCTCCCTCACAGCCCCTCAGAATGACATACACACCAAAACAAGTGTGGGGCACAGTCCGCATTGACTACTGTGGCCCATTCCTATCAGGAGAGTATCTTTTTGCTGCGGTTAATGAAATATCAAAGTATCCAGAGGTCCATGTTATACGCTCAATTCTGCGGCCACAGCCATTACGCACCTTAATCAAATGTTTGCAACACATGGTATTCCCGAAGTCATTATATCTGACAATGTCCCTTTCGGGTCAGAAGAGTTTACAGCATGATGTAAACAGTTTGGTATCAAGCATCGCAAAATTGCGCCCCTTTGGCCAGCCACTAACGCCCAAGTAGAGCGATACAACAAACCCCTGGAGAAGACTATTCGAATTGCTACTGTGAAAGGAAAGAACTGGCGCTCGGAACTGTCTGTGTTCTTAATGAATTATCCAAATACTCCCCATTCCTCCACTGGGGTCTCGCCCGCACCCTTGATGATGAATCGTCACATCAGCACCAAGATTCCCTGACTGGATCTCCCTCGCCCTTCAAAGCTTGTTAAAATCGCATACTACGATGACAACTTGAGAAAGTCAAAGGCAAAGGCATACATAGACAGACGTTACAAGGCGACTCCTTCAGACATTCGCCAGGGAGATCATGTGCTGTTGCTTCAGAAACGTCAAAACAAGCTAACCACAAGATATTACCCTAGACCCTTTACCGCGGTCAGAAAAAAGGGAGTCAGCGTCGAACTTGCGAGAGGACAGGCACGATTGTTTAGGAACTTATCCGTGATCAAGAAAGTTATTCCCTCGACGAGGAGCACCGAACTCGTTAGAAGACCTACCTGGGGAGGGAGCGTCCCCAGTCATCCGAATGTTACATCAGGGAACGCGGAGCATGTTGGCAGGCCTTTCCGAAAACGGCGCGTTCCCAATTTTTTAATGACCTCTTTTGAGCTAAGACGTTTCTAAGTTCTATAGTGAGCCTGGTTTCGTTTATTACTACTGCCGCTGTTTCCTGTAATACACTCATTTTTTCATAGGAAAGGGAGGATATTGCATATACGCATTGCGTACCTAGAGTGTAGTGCGCACGTCGGAAGGACATGTGTTCGCCTGCCATGAAAAATAGAGTTGTGTTCTGCTAAATACTTTGGTTTATTGCCTTGTGTTACAATAGCCACTCCGCAGGTCCGTCTTATTCCACTGTCAATCGAGTTAAAAAAAGCTGTGGACACATGTGGCTATTTGTTGAATTGCGCCTGCCTGTCAGCGCAATTATCTCTCCAACCAATCATGAGACTCCCTCAGCGACTTTTCAACCTCACTCATCTTTTTAAAACATAAGCTCTTTCGAGTCTACAGTCATCAAAGCCACACAAGAATCTCTATTGGCTACTTATGCATTGGAATTAAAAAAACAAGTTTTTGCAATCTTGTAGCACGAGCCAAACAATTTTTTCTTCCCTCAACTTCTTAAAAATTCAAATTTCAAAATTCCAAAACTCTCACCATGATGATTTTCGAGAGTTACATTTTAACCAGAAACAAATCATTCCACGCGGTATAACGGTATTAACATGATATACCATGTTTAGACCGCCTCCCAATTAGCTCAATGGATAGAGCGCTGGACTGTTGTGCGGGAGGTCGAGGGTTCGAGCCCCGGCCGGACCAACACTCAGGGTCTTAAAATAATTGAGAAGAATTTGCTGCCTTTCTATAACATCAAGAAATGATTAGATATTCTAGTCTTCTCGGATAGGGACGAATAAATGGAGGTCCCGTCTCCTGCAGGGTTAGGGGCAGGGAGACGTTAATTTCCCACACACGAGATTACGGTGTGATGGATGTCCTCCCCTGGGGTGGGATGGGTGGGATATTGGGCACGCTTAATTTGGAGCCTCGTTTTATTGTGCGACCCTCACCACACTCTGGTAAAAGTGATTAAATAAGTGTGGATATTTTACTACCTATGTTTCATTGTACATCAGCATCATTCTGAAAGGTGTCAACAGAAAATAGTGTCGTTTCTATTGTCCAATCTGTCGATAAAAGTCGTACTCATTTCTACGGTTTATTACAGTTTTTGATTTGTTTTCCTTATCTCATCCTTTCTTTCTTTATCTATTTATTCGAAATCAAACATGCAAAATTTTGAAGGTGAAAATTTGTCATAGAAAACTTGTAGTGTAATTGGCCAGATGATTGTCTCTCAGATATTCCCTTTGCTAATAAATACAGCGGGGAAATGTTTACATGTCCAATGTAGAAAACTTCAAAGATTATGATCTTGTTTAAGAGTTGATGCATCATTATGAAGATCTATAGCAAATGCATTTGAATAATTATTTTCCGCAGAAAACATTTCTAAAGATCGTCAACTAACGAAGGAAAGTTAACATTTAAGAACAAGTAGATGAGGTGTGGCATGTAGTGTTTTACAGAGGTCAAGACAAAGGGGAGAGTAGGTCCAATGGCACTTTGCATCAGCCTTAGAAATAACCTCCATGTTTAAAAAAAGAGAACATTATCATCAATTGGAGATAACACATCACTGCTCTGCTCGGTGAATTTAGATTAAAGCTGTCATTTGCATAAACAAGGCACTGTCCAAACTTACATGTCCCACAGCAAGGTGTTGCTACTAAAAAGTTCTTGTGGTATATCCTTCAACTGGTTGTTGTCCAACCGCCTACGAAGAAATCACAAAAGGCGGTGTTAGTCATATTGTATCACTACAACAAGGTCAGGATTCACAATAAATGCCAGCAAACAGACTTATAATGTCCTCTAGCAGAAGGCGTATTTTCAATTTCTTTGTATCGAAGTCTACAACAAGGTAACAAGCCATAATGTGGGACAAAAGGAGTCTCAGGGTTTATCATTCAAAGTCCTACATGTAAATGCAACTGAATTCAAAACCCAGGATGCCAAATTTTGAAGGAGATAATCTATCATAAAAAACTTGTAGTTTCTGTGGCTGATGAATACCTCTCAGATATTTCGATCTCTATGCTCATAAATATAGTGGGGAAATTTTTAAATATCCAATGCAAAGAGTTTAAAACAATATGATTTTGTCCAAGATTTGATACATCACTTTAGGGGTTGTATAACACATGCATTTGCATATTTGTTTTCTGAAGAACAAATTTCCAATGATGAGAAGGGAAATTTTAAAAATTAAACGAGACTTACCTGTAAGTTGAAGTTTGATTGTAATTCTAACCGTCACCAAGCACTGAAGGATTACGTGAGATTGCGTTGCGCCTGTGCGAACTCAGTTTTTAAAGCACTTACTATGTGTGCAGTGAAGAAAAGCCCTGTCCAAAAAGTGGGAGGGCCTAATTTGGGAGGGTACGTAATCCTTCAGTGCTTGGTGACGGATAGAATTGCAACCAAACTTCAACTTACAGGTAGGTCTTGTTTAATTTTTAAATTCTATATCCTCACCGCACTGAGGGCCCATGTGAGACTTCAAAGCACAATGCACACATGAATAAAATAGTAAACACCAAAAAACATGATTAATGGCCAAAGCAGTTTGGTACCTTCAAACTTGTAATAAAACATTAGAAAAACTGTGTTGATAACAGGCTTCTTATAAAACTTGGCAAATGTGTCAGATGAGCTCCACCCTGCAACTGATAGGATATGCTCTAATAGGACAGATTTCAAAAATTCCCTA